CAAGCTCAGGCAGCCCAGCCTGGACTCGGGGACCCTCTACAGCTCCTAAAAAGGTCGACGCTGCTTCGTGATCGCAAAGGAAAACAGCTGAGCACGGGCAGCATTTACTTCAGTCAGGAATCCATCACAGTGATGATGTACAGGATAAAAGTGTGGCAGCAGCTTCGTGTCGGAGCACCGGCACCTGACCTAGGGAAAAGATCCTCTAAACTAACACATAAGCGTACTCTACCTCAGAACACTGCGGGGCTCTCAGCACGAAAACCTGATGCTTTGCTTTAAAGACAACAAAGTGAGACGTGACTAATAGTTTGAGTGTGTACCTCTTTTATCTCCAAGAGAATGAATTTAGGGCATGCGCACGCATGTGCGTGTGTGTTTGTGTGTGTGTGAATCTCTACAATAAGGCCTGGGATGGTGGTTACCATAACATAAATACCAGTAGCAAGTTATAGCGTTGGTCCTAAAATACATAACACACACATATCCTATACACACACTATATACATACATATACACATTATATATACACATACATGTTGTATACACTATAACACATATTATGTACATAAATACACACACTATATACACACATATGCACACATACACACATACTAGATTATGATTCTTCTTAGGGGAAAAGCTACTCTTTTTTTTTTTTCTTTTTTTGGTCCTCAGACCCAAAAATCAAAGCCAGGTCAGGCTATTTCAGAGAGATACCATGTATGACGTAGCCCAAACATTATAACGGTCCAGAAGGTGAAAGAAACTTTTCATTTTAAGCTCAGAAATTAACTTAAATATGAAATCTGAATCCCTACTGGCTTCGGACTGGAAGAAGACAGAGTTCTATCCTTAACACCCAACTGCAAATGTCTAATGTGCTCATAGCTGCTAACAGGTGTCTATCAGCGTTTGGCCAAAGCCTGACTGTTCCTTCACAAATGCAATGGCAACAATCGGTCTATACGAAGTGCCGGTCACATGGAACCCAAATGCTCCTCTGACAAAAAGATGGGCAGTTGCTATCCCATTCAAGGAGCACGTGACTGCCCTTGTTACAAAGTGCCAACTAGCAACTGAGCCTGAAGCAGCTCCCACACATCTCTGTGCACATACAGCCCAACCTGCTCGCAGACAGGTTTAGCTTAGGAAAATCCATGGGCTCCAGGAAGATGGGAGGCTCCCTAGTCTAACGCACTCCCTTTCCCGAGATTTCCCAGGACTTAGATGCAGTCATCTCCATGTTGAAGCCGATTCCTCCTTTTTTACAGAATCAGAGCCAGCCAGTGTGTCACTCCAAAGAGCCACAACCCCCTGCCCCTCCTGCCCGGCTGTGCTGCACACGGCAGGGAGCTCCTCCCTCGGCTACTGGTTGGCAGGCTCCGGCTCTTGATCTGCTAGCAGCCGGCTCTGGATGAAGGGATGGCTCCCCCTGGAGCCTGAGGTGCTCATCTCCACTGAGGTCCACAAGCTACAGCTTTCAATCTAAAAGTCTTCGGGTTCAGAAAGCTGGTTAAACAAAGGTCAAGAGGAGAAGAGCGTTAGTTCCTGAGGAGACAACATCCTAACCTTGCAGCTCACTAAGAACACGGGTGGGATGGATGGACAAGCCCTCCTGTTATTCATAATGTGCTGGGTGCCCTCTTCCTGTGGCCTGGGCATCCCATTATCCTGACTTCAGCTAAACTGTTCCTGATACAAAATGTTGAGGCACCCCTGCTTTGAGTTCAGCTAGACCACCCAGTACAAGAAGAATAAATGCTTTGAGTGCAGGCCCCACAGTCAAGACTTTAGGCTTTGGGGCCCCCGTTATCCCTGCTGTAATTACTCAACTTCTGGTGATACCCTAAATGTGCATGGCTGTGTTCCAATAGAAAACACCTACAAAATCAGGTAGTCAGCTTATACCAGGGGGCTGCAGTTGATCCACATCCAATCTAGACAGCTGAATCCAGTCAACAGAGGTAAGCTGGCTGACAGCTGTAAAGAGAAGGACTGAGGGCTGGGTGTGGGGGGACCGTCTGTAATGCTGGCCTGTGAGGTATGAATATCAGGAGTTGGAGGCCAGCCTGAGCTATCTAGCAAACTCAAGGCAAAGACACATAGTAAGACATTGTCTCCAAAAGTAATTTTTTTTCATGCCCCCACTGTATTTCTGCATTGCCTCTGAATCCTCCTACGTTCCAGAACAATCCTGACCTTTTCACCCTCTGTAGAACTGAGAATTTCTTCAATTGCTTTAGTAATATCAAGTATCAACTTCAAAAGTTAGCTCTGCATTGCTTATAACCAGTGTGAGCAAGTGATAGAACAGTCTGCTCAGAGCTCTGGGAAAACCAGTCAGTCAATCAGGGAACATGCTCCTCCCACACCTCTCCTGCAGACAGCACCTGGAGGGGAGTTTGGACAAGACACTGCCACAACAGCATTCATGGGTAGACAGAGCGTCTGTCCAGGCATGGGGGGTGGAGCAGGGAGGATCAGGGAGGAACCATGCTCAGAATCGATCCACTCAGCTTCACAGGCTAAGGACTCAATGGCTGATCCACTGACAACAGTCTCCCTGCTGTGACCCAAAGAAAGGAATGCTGCTGGCCCTGGCAAAGCTTTCCCAGAGGGTGACCCCAGCAGTCTTGGGAGCAGATGCCCAGCTCTGCTTTGCAACAGGCAAAATGAAGAAGTGATGGCGACTTATGCATGGCCAAGTAGAAGGAGAAGGAAGTCTGTTATCTAGAGGCCACAGCCTCCCTGGCCAAGGACATTTTCAAGACTGCCTCAAAGGACAAAAGGCAGCTCCATTACGACAGAAAGCCATGTGCCTATCAACCTACAGCTTCTTTAAGTCTGATACACCTGCTGAAGACGGAGAATGATTTATACAAACTCACCTGCCTGAAATTTGAAATATATTATTCCAATAACTAAGAGTCAAAATTTTCAGCACTAGCACAGAGCCATGCTTGATGGCGTGGAGACGGAGGAGTGACAGGCAGCAGTAAAGGCAGTCCCTAAGGGGGGGTAGGAGCTGGGAACACTGCTGGCCTTCCTAAAACCTTCAACAATCCATCCTGCCACACCAGTGGGACCACACACACCTCCTTCAGTCCACAAAGTAAGCTATGGGCCCAAGGAGGAAGTGTCAGAGGAAGTGGAGAGGCAGCACCTCCTCCTCTACTCTCAGCATTCTGGGAGCCTTTTGGATCCGCATGTTTCTTCCCCACACTTCAGAATCTCCTTGTCTCTCTATATCAGGAAATCACCAAACATGATTCTCATCCCGTCCTGGGCCACCTCTGAGTCTGAGATAACAATGTCAAACACCTGATGCTGCAAACCTCTAAGAGGACAAGAGTTGTATCCAAAGGTCTGCTAGCTGACATCAGACAGAGCAGGCTGAAAGGAGCCAGTCACATACCTCACTGATTAAAGAAAGCCTATCCTGGGGACTGGTGGGCTGGCTCTCTGGTGAAGAGCACTGGCTGCTCATGCAGAGAGCCCAGGTTAAGGCCCAGCACCAACATGGCAGCTCACAACCATCTCTATATAATTCCAGATCCAAGATATTCAATAACCTCTTCTCGTCTCCTAACACAGTGTGCATACATGCAGACAAAATATTGATATACATAAATAAATTAAATAAATAAAAATAAATAAGAAAAACTGTCCAACTAAAAGACTAAGGTGATGATATCTTTTCATTAAATTCCTATTGAGCTAAGTATTAATAAACAAAGGGAAACAGTGTTAGGTCCTGAAATCCTGTTTTTAAAACGTATCTGCAGCATCCTGGGTCTACACTCAGATCAAATCAATGCCTCTTGGATCCTGAAGAGACGGTCATTATTACTAGCAGCACAGTCCACTGACAGCATGGCGATCATCCAGCCTTTATCCCAAACAGAGACTGAAAAGGATGTATTCTGGGCTCAGGATGAGGTCTGGGAAGTGATTTTGAGAAAACCGCTTTCCATTGTTTTAAACACATTTCCTTTGTCCCTTTATCTTAGTAGGAGCATGGTCAAGAGACCTACTCTGGGATGATGTCTCAAGCCCTACGAGCCTGTCATACTTGCAGAGTGGCTGATCCGCTCTGGCACCTCACCTCCTATGCTTGCTGGAAAAGGACACTGTGGACTCTAAAATCAGGAAAACAGAGAGGAAACTAGAGAAAAGTTCTTAAGAGAGGCCATGAGGGGGCACTGTGATAGAAGGACAGATGGACAGAGAGAAACCCAACAGAGGACAAGCCAGAGGACAGCCAAGTACAATCCTATTCTTTAATCTGAAGATGCATATGCTATCACGAAGCAATTCAGATTCTAATGTCAGATGTCAATGGACCAAAACAAAATAAAGCCTCATCCCTTAAGATGGCACAAGTGCCCTCATTGTTGCCACTGCACCAGCCCGGAAGCCACTGACCTCACCATGGCCACTGTAGTTAAACAGCAGCAATTAGAAGGGTTACTTCAGAGGTGAAGACAAGGATGAATCCTCCAGTTTTATGAAGAAATAAGATATGGTTACCAAAAGAAAATGATAGGCTCAGTGACCAGTGGAAACCTGCAGTACCCTTGGATCCAAAGTCACAATCTGCTGTTGTCCAGTATCCCATTACCAATCAATTTTGGTTTGAATAACCCAGGTAATTGGAATACATCCATGCACCACACAGACCGGGTCAAAAACTCTTAGCCAGAGCCTGTTGTCTCCAGTCCCTGAGTACCAAAATAGCCACAGCCTTTTGCTGACTTTTCAGCTTTGGGCAACTTCAAGGTCAGGCCCCACAAAGCCTCGCACTGTAATACTGGGATTGAGAGGGAGTAGGGTTTTAATGAGACAACAGCTGAAAAGGCTATAAGAGCATCTTTACATTGAAGATTTACTACAAAGTTTAATTTCAGTTACATTTAAGTGGAATTCGCTGTAGCCCTCACAAAAAAATAAAAATTAAAAAGTGAGTAAAATAAGATGACAGTGAGCTACAGGCCTACCTATTCCTGAATTCGCTCCGGTAACCAGGACCACCTTTCCCGTGAAGTCCCGGCCCTGCAGGATCTCCATGGCGGTCGTGCTACCGTCGTATCTCTGTCTGGTGGTTGGCTTTGTCGGATTATCATCCACAGTAAATGCCAATCTTGGATCCAAGTAGGTAGTTCTTTTATTTATGTGGCTGCAAAGAACAGGAAGGACATTGAACTTGATACAGCAAGGACCAGCATCTCCAAATACAAGATAATCTAGTACTTCAGGCAAACACCATCATTTGTGCACCAAAAGGCTTAATGTCAAATATGGAGAGACCTCGACCCCATCTGATCCCCCTTCTGACCTCCAGAAGGATGGTCCTCCTGCCTTGGAAGCCTCGCAGAACTACTTGAAGACACTAGGACACACTTGCTCTTGGGCCCAAAGAGCAGCTCCCTGAGAAGGCTCTGAGCTTCTGCTGAATTCATGTTAAGATAAATGAGGCTGTAGCATCTGTCAGCCACTCTCATCAACAGATGCCCGTGTAATTTTACTGGCCTGTGCAAGGGCCTATATACACTGGCATACAAGGAGAAAATGGAAATGAGAAGCGTCTCAATAACTATAAAACAAGCCAAATAGCAAAGTTTCAACAGTTTGCATTTTAAGACAATGGCCATGCCACACTCTTCATTTGTAATTGATCTAGAACTTACAGAAACAACATTAAAATATACTGGCACATATAGACTATTAAACTGCTCCTTTGAATACCATTTTTACATTTTAAATGTATTTTTGGGCTATCAAGATGACTCAGCAGGTGCCTGCTACCAAGCCTGATGACCTGAGTTCAATCGCTGAAACCTATATGACAGAAGAAAACAATCAACTCCCGCAAGTTGCCCTGATATCCATGTATTGCCCAATCATGAGGACTGGAGTTTGGAACCTAGCACCCACCCAACAAGCCAGGACTCCATGTTTGCACATTCATAACCCCAGCTCCGAAGGTTGCAGATACAGCAGAATTGCTAACGCTTATTGCTTTCCATCTTAGCCAAGAAAAAGCAAGATTCAGGTTCAGGGAGAGACCCTGCCTCAAAGGAATTTAAAAAACGATAGCAGAGAGACCTGATGCCCTCATACAGTCAAACAGACATATCAATCCTTTGTATAAATTTTAGGAAGCCTCAAAGACAAGCAGCTTAAAGAAGAGGAAGAAGCAAAGAAAGAAAAGTAGTTCAATCAAGTAAAGGGAAAATTTTCATGACACTCCCCAAATGGCAGGCTCTCAGGGGTGTACCACACCACAATCCATGTGGCAGACACAAGTGTGAAGGGCTGGTCTGGCCTGACCCCAAAAATCTTAGTCTACAGAGATGGGTAGAAAACTACAGACTGGAAGAAAAAAAAAATCACAAATCTCGTAAAGGTAGCTACTGCTGCTGATAAAACAGTATACGTGACTTCATATTTTCCTACAATGTAGGAAATTATAACTGAAAATTCCTCGTAAAAGTCAAGATGACCATGTTTCTACATAGACACTTACTCAACAAAAAACACTTGTCCGTTCTCATCGGTCTCTTGCTCCCATCCATATGGTAAATCTGAAATACAAGAAAGATTGACAGCTGTATGTGCAGTGGAAGCCACACCCCAAGGTCAGGAAGGAGTGTTATCCCTCTTATCCCAACTCCCCCATCTCCTAAACCCTCTGGACCAGCTTGCTCTGGTCACATGATTTGAGGGTGGCAGCTACAGAAGGCCCAGCATTCCACCTGGAAGTCACATTTTTGCCTCCTGCTTTAACCAAAATCCTGTCACACTCCATCACTCTGAAGTGTTTGCTCAGCTCCTGCTTTTACTTCAGGCCTCAGCAGCTGCTCCTGTGAGCATGAATTCCCAAAGCTTACAGTGCCTGCAAGTACACTGGACACAACCAGTGGAGTGCTGACATGGGCTGCTTTTCGCCATGCTATAGAGCCATCCCATCCTTTTTGTGTACAAGTTCATCTGAGGCCTAAACCCACTGAGGCCAAGGAGCTTCAGTGCCCTTTGTTTTCATTCAATACCTCTATTCCATGTTTCCTTGCTTGGAAACATCTTGTAGGTTCCTGTAAGATACAGACATCTGACTACAGCCTACAGCAAGGCAATTACCCACATGGTACAACCACAGAGGAACTCAACAATGTTTCAATAATCTTTGTTTAAAACCATAAGCCTTCCTCCTGTCCATCTCAAGATCTCATCTCTCCTTCTGCCAAATCCCATTAGGTTTTCAGACTGAGACTCTTCCTTGATGGCCGCCATCAGACAGCCTTCTCAGAAAGACAGGGTCAACTGTTCCCTCCCCACATCTTCCCTGGCTAAGTAATGCTTCAGACACAGGATTGTGGGCTTCCAAGGACATACAGACCTCCTGCGACTCGTTTTCTTTTGCCCGTTTTCGGATGTTCCCACTGGGTCTTTTCCTCGGTGTGACTGTAACAGATCCACAATATAGTAAGTTAACACTGCTGAAAAGTAATCACTGTGCTAAACTGTGTCTCTCCCCGATAGAGCTGGAGTCCTAAGACCAGATGCAGAAAGAAAGACTCAAAAACAGAAACTTTCCTGACTGCGTCAGGTCAGAAGAATCAAACCTGAAAGAATCATGCAAACCAGGTGGGGAAAGCAAGGTGGGACTGGGTCCTAGCTACGGGTGAACTTTACAAACTCTGTGAATCACAGAGTTCTAGAAAGACATTTCATATTTCTTGTCCCCTCACTCAAGGATATATTAACAAACTTCAATACCTAGTTTATAATGCTTATGTTAATCCTTTTTAAATATTTTTTTTTCCTTGTTCTTTTTACTTTGTTGAGTTTTGTCTTTTTGGTTTTGATTTGTTTTTGTTGTTGTTGCCTTGGTTTGGTTTGTTTTTTTTGAGACAAAGATTCATGTGGCCCAGGCTGAACTCACTATGTAGCCATGGAGGACATTAAATGCTTGATTCTACTGTCTCTACTTCCCAAGTACTAAAATTACAGAGGTGACTTTAAAAATGTACATTCTGGGCTGGCAAAATGGCTCAAGAGGTGAAAGTGCTTGTCATGCAATCCTAATGACTCAAGCTTGCTGCCTGGATCCTATGGTGGAAGAAGTAAGCCAGCTCCCGAGTGTTGTCCTCTGACTTCCAGCAATACACCGTGGCATGCATACACATACACATACACACACACACACACACACACACACACACACACACACACGTATATTCTGTCCCCAGGTGTAACTTTTCGGTGTCTCACTAATCACTTGGCCCTGAGCTCACCTAAAAGGATGTTACAAATGCAGTAAGACAGCAGCACAAGTCACTTTCTATGGCAAGATGACCATGGATCTCTGAACACTAGATCTGACAAGACAGCCCCTATGGACCACTGTACACTCACTCCATCTCCAAGCCATCACTTCCTGTCATCTGCAGAATGGGGCTGTTATAAGGACAGGGTGCAAATGGTCTCATGGAGGAACCATTATAATAAAATGGTGAGCTGTCATACGTTCTATTGGTAAATTGTCATGTGCTATCCAAACTCACTGAACACGGGCTCTGCTATTGAGGAGGCTTCCCCTTACCCCAGGCTCCAGCATGTTTATTGTACATGTCCTCCAAAAGTCCCCAAGAGACTATTGGGCCCCTAATCTGTGACAGGAAGGAAAACAGCAGACAGCTAAGGGTATTAAAAAAAAAAACTGTGTCTTTGAACACAGCCAGAAGACTCCCAAATACCTTCCCTCAGCTACTGTTTTATTCCGCAATATAAAAATGCCTGTAACTAAGGGGAAGCTTGTCCAGGGAGAGCATGTATCGAGCAATGGGAACTCCAGCATGTCCTCTCCACAGGGCTCCCACATGGGGGCTGATGCTATACACACCTGACTTAAAGCTGTGACTTGCCTTCTCTTTCAGGTGAGCCCCTCCAGTCCAGGTTTCTGAAGGGCACTGAGTTACTCTATTTGATAATATTTCGCTACTCATGGCGTCTCTCTATCTGCTACTTGCTATTTATCTTTCACTTTTGCTCAATTCATATTTAGTAAAAATCAGCCATTCAAAACTGAAAGTACAGCTATAAGAGATGCGCAGAGAACACAGACCAACAACTAGAACCGCCTGCCACCAGTGACAAGGCACCTGCCATGAGGGAAACAGTCAGGCACTGAAGAAGGCATTCGAAGGTTAAGCTTGAGTGCCGTAAGTCCACTCTCAACAAGAGAGAAACTGTATTCCTTTATCACCAAGTGACGAGATGCCACGGGCCAAGAAACAGTTGTAAGTACAGGTGGCTGGAGCATATAGACTAGGGAGATATCTAAGGCAGAGGCGACACACAGAGGCCCAGGTAGGGGCAACAAATGTGGGATTCTTGGCATGTTTACTTCCCTGCACCTCTTGCTCAGACAATGCACTTATTTCTCTAGAACGCTGCCTGGGGTTTCTCCCCCCACTGTCCCCTCCAAGTGCCTGACTTCCTGCCACCTAGACCCACCTTCTACCAGAACTCTGAGACAAAGGCCAAATGACTTCTCTCATAGGCAGCCTCACTCACCCACCCACCTCATGCTGGACAGACACACTGCACTGGAACTATCTATTACAAGTCATCTGCCCTGTCTTAGAGAGCTCCTTAAAGAGGCATCTCACTTAGCTGGGCACAACCAGTACCCTCTAAGTGGCCGGGTTCTTAAGGGCTCTCGAATAAATGAACTCATCAGAGCTTGTCTGCTTTGTTTCTCTCTACCTGGCCACCAGGGGGAAGCAGTGAGTATCCTTGAGCTGCAACTCTCAAGGGGCCTTTACAATCTAGCAGTTGGGAGACTCCAGAATACAAACTAACTAATTTGATAGTGAGCCTGGAAAGTTATCTCTTACATTTTTTCAGGTAGGGTGGTGCAAACATGTAATTCCACATCATGAAGGTGGAGGTATCAGGAACTTAATGTCATTTCAGGCTACATAAAGAATCCTAGGCAGGCCTAGGCTGCAGGAAACACTGCTGGACAAATGAACCTGGAGCTCATGCCATTAACCCCGGAGGCTGGAAGATCTCTGTGAGTTTGAAGCCAGTCTGGCCTACAGTTCATAAAAAAATTAATTATTAAAAACTAAAACTACAGATTACAGGTGTTATTACTAAAAGCCAAGTGATAATACACTCTTTAAAAAGCTTTAAAAAGATTGATTCTCCCAGCCATTAAAAACATGGAGTCAGGGGTGTTCATGAACACTTGTGACCCTATCCCAGGAGAATCAGGACCTCAACCTCAGCCACATATCAAGGTAAAGACAGTCTGGACTACATGAGTCCCTGTTTAAAAAATATTTTACAGGGAACTGGAGAGATGGTTCAGAGGTTAAGAGTACTGGCTGTTCTTCCAGAGGTCCTGAGTTCAATTCCCAGCAACCACATGGCAGCTCATTACCCTCTATAAAGAGATCTGGTGCCCTCTTCTGGCGTGCTGGCACACATGCAGGCAGAATACTATATAAATAATAAAGAAATATTTTAAAAAATATTTTACAGATACATAAGAAAGAAGAAGAGGAAGTATTTAAGAAGATGAGGGAAAGTACACAATATACATATGAAAAAGGACATCACGAACTTGGGGACTAGAAGGTAGGCAGATGTCTTGGTAGGCAGACAGACAGGTAGAAGGACCATGGCTAGGTAACACAGGTGGTGAACTTCCAAGATGGCCAGCTTCTCCCTCACCCTCCTTACCTGAGGCAAAAGCCTGGCATCTCAAAACAAAGGCCTTTTAGTCTTTTTCTCCTGCCAGCAGGTGCCTGCTGACGGACTGGATCAACAAATTCAAGACCACATCAGGACATGTTACCCAACAGTTGTGGGCTAATCAACCACCTTATCTTTCTTCACATTGAGCAACTCTTAAATCAGGGGAGGAAAACTGTTCAAAGACTGACTCTTTCTCTCTCTCTCTCTCTCGAGATATATATATATATGTTTTTTGGGCTCTACAGGGTTCCCACTCTGCTTTCGGTTTCCGTGTGCCTGATGTGAGAACGTGCCTCCTTCCCTCCAACAATAAAGTCCTTTCAGCTGTTGATTCTGTCTGCTGCTGTTAGCGGTGATGGAGATTTCTCTGTTCCTACCTGTTGCACTGGGGATTTTCCCCCTTGCCTTTTAATTCTTTAACTGGTCGAGAAAACGAACCCTATCATGACCCAAAGACTGTATCAAAACACATCATTTTATACATTAAATATATATTATTTGCTAAAATTTAACAGATTTTCCCAAAGTACAGAATCATCTGCAGTAGGTTCTCTATGGAAACACAGGGTCTGTATTTAAGGCACTACCCAGATACTGGGGGTGGGGGTGGGATTACTCAGGCCTACCTATACAGTGAGACTCTGTAAAAGGCAGGTGGCTCTGTGAAAGTTCGAGGCCAGCCTGATCTACTAAGCTAGTTCCAGGCCAGCCAAGTTTACATAGTGAGATCCTGTCTCAGACCAGGGTTAGGTAATTACAACACATGGCCTATTCAACTTTGCCACAGGTATTACTGTCCAGCTAACAAGAAATTCCGGCTGGGCAGAAGATCTACAAGCCACTAGCCTCTCCACTGAGTGCCTTATGTACAAGCACTGGATTCATTCTTGTGTCGATTCATTTTTACAGACGAAGAAGGAAGCAATCAGCCGGGGCTTTCAGTGCCCCGAGGAGGTCACGGTTAGTAATGGAGAAAAGCTCTCTGTTAGGGTTTCCTAAACTTTCCTGGGAATCCATTATGAGCAATCCAGGACATCTGTTTAAAAACGCGGACTGCTTGGACTCGGCCGGAGCTGGGCATTGAAGTTTCCACTTTTATTTCCTCTTTAGAGGAGTTAAGACCTGAGAGGCACCACGGCACTATGAGTGCCACCTAGAGAGCATCAGGGGGGGCGTGCTGCAGGCGACCAGGTGACCCCAGCTTTACCCTGACCCCACAGTGGGGGAGGGGGACCACCCTGGGACAGGTGGCTGGCAACCTGGATGCGCGTGCCCGCCGGGCTGGGCAGGCAGCGCAGGGTCCAGGCCTCAGAGGACACGGGTCCCGGGATCGCCGCTCCAGGTCGCTTACTTGGCGTAGTACACCCAGCCGTCCTTGGTGGTTCTCTCCTCCCAGCCCGGGGGCAGCTCATCCTCGCTGTCCGTGTCGTCCAGGCCCGCGTACCGCAGGGCTGCCATGGTGGAGATAGAAGTGACTGCCCGGTCTCCTCAGCAACACACCCTGGCATCAATCGCGCCGCGCGCACCAGCCGCTGGCGCTTGCGCGCTGCTCGCCCAACCGGTCCGCAGCTGTAATCCAGTTTCCTGGAGTCTCGGCGACTGGCGGGACAGGGGGCGGAGCCTGAGGTGCGCGCCGGTGGCAGCGCGCGTGCGCACCCAGTCACCGTGCAGGACTCCGCCCGTTGCCGGGCGACCGGAAATCACTTCCTTACTGTTTTACCCAATCCTGATTGAGTCTCAGCATTGGGGTATCCTGGGAAATGTAGTCCAGGCTCAACTGGCGTAAGTACTGGGGATAAAAAAAAAAAAAGAAAGGGTTCTGAAGAGGCTGTCCTGGACTTCAGTTTCTTTCCATGCAGGCTTGCATACTCAACCTTTGACACTGCGACACGATACTATGACATAGTCATATCCAAAATTTACGCTGGAGATCCAATGATCCAGCCCCGGAAAAGGAAAAGAAAGGAACATCTCAAAAATGTTTGAAGTTTACAATTTTTGTGTTGGTCCGTATTTATTATTATCCTGGGCCACATGCCGCCACAAGCCTCAAGAAAGACACACCTGCGAGAGTAAATGTCCCGACTTGGTACAATCCAGAGATTTTTCATTCACAAGCTTTATTGTGCATGTAAATATGAAATTTAAAAACTATAGTTGGAGAACATAGAAATACAAGGTCTAGACAGGTGCAGTGACTCGTGCCTGTAATTCCAGAATTAGGGATGCTAATACAGAAGGATCACCGTGAGCTTGAGGCCAGCCTAGGCTATAAAGTGAGCCAAAAATACAGAAAGTATAAATTCTCATCCCTGCAGATTTTTTATTAGAGAGAATGGTCTTCCAGCCATAACGTGGTTTTCTTGTTCATAGGCACCACCTAATCACAAACTTACAAAGCACACTGTCAAAGCACATGACAAGAATCCTATCTATAAATGTCCTGTATTCACAATCTGAAGCCTATCTTCAGCTTGGCCTTGCTGAAGCCAGTTTCCAAAACATGCTCTACTTATAACTTGTTTCCCAGCCCTGGGTTATGGAGAAGTCTTCTAGGTTATGAGAGAACGCATGCCTCTATGGAAAGAATGCCCATTTTATGGGTAAGTCAGGGATACTAGCAATGTTACTTTTGTCTTTAAGTCCTGAAAATAATCATTGCTGTGGAATAGCTCCTTCCTCCCCACACTCCTTGGGGGCAGCCACACTTCGCTGAACATGTGCAGTACAGAGCTGACTTAATGAAAGCAACACTTACTTGTTTTTTTGTTTTGTCTCCACATGAGCATGTGTATGTGGACACAGGTGTGCACCTGCCTGAGGAGTCCAGGGCTTGGTAAGGAGAGCATATTCTTCCATTGCTTATTCACTGAGGCGGTGTCTCAGTTGTCCGCTAACCTAGCTTGCTCCATGGATCCCTGTCTCAGGCTTCCCAGCACTGGAATTAGAGAAAGGCACCACACCCACCCCGAATGTCTGTGGCTTCTGATAACCCTACTTGGTCCTCGTGCTGTCACAGTAAGCGCTTTTACCACAGAGCCTTCTCTTTATCCCACCATTTAGTGTAACAGCACTGCTCTCCCATTTGAATCCTATGAGAGCATGACTTTTTTTTTCCCAAATGTCTGTGTATCTGCTACTGCTCTTCTACTGCACCTCTGCTTACCCTTTCACCTCTCACCTTAGCCCACTGACTCTTCTGATATGAAGTGAGATCATGAAGGCCCATGATTGTGCAGAGAAAAGTGAATATGGTCAAAATGAAGAGTCTTGGTTTTTCTTTGGTGACTGTGGCCTCTATTCAAAGCATGAGAGCTGAGGTAGACCTTAGATTGGTCAAGCCAGACCTGTCATCTGCTTCCGGTGACATGCCATCAAGCCACTTGATATTAGTGATGGATAACATCCTTCTGTTGTGATTTGATTCTGAAATGTCCCCAACAGACTCATGATTTGAATGTTTGGTCTCCAGTTAGTGGCATCATTTTGGAGGTTTATGAAGGTGGGGAATAGCTGGAGGAGATGGGTTACTTGGCTGAGAAGAGCCTGATAGGTATATTATCCCTGTCTGAATCTACTCTCCCATCCCTCTAGCCACCAACCCTGCTTCCTACCTCACTGTTCATCCAGGAAGAGGAAAAAGCCCAGATTAGATTAGCTGATAGCTGTGTCTATGAAGAATTGCCTTGATTATTTATTGATGTGGGACCATCCAGCCCAATGTAAGAGCACCTATTTGATGGGAGGTGGTCCTGGGCTGTATAAAAAAACAAACAAACAAAAACATAGCTACAAGTAAGCCAACAAGCAGTGTTCTTCTGTGGCTTCTGCTTCATTTCCTCCTTCAGCTCTTGCCCCAACTTTTTTCAAGGATGGATCATGACCTGGAAATGTAAGGCAACTTCCAAAGTTGCTTTCGGTCCTGGTCTTTGCTACAGCAACAGAAAGCAAGTTCCTGTGGCCACAATGCTTCAAACTGGTCTGCCCCACCACGCCTGCCCCACGAGAAGAAGGGGAGGGAGCTGCTAAGTTCTCTGAAACTATAAGTAAATCCTATTCTATCCATTAAGTTGGTTTTCTCAAGTATTTCCCTCCCACTAGTGTGAAGTAGCTAGTATGTGCTATGCCTCTAAGCAGAGTATTAGTTTCCATGGTAGAACTCTAAACTTCTGGAAGGCCAACCTTCTGCTACCACAGAACAACCCTGTAACATTAATTGTTAATGTAGTCCTCTAAGGTTCTCCTGTCACTGACACCACGATTTCTCAACCTCAGCACTATTGATATTTGGGGCGAGTCGGAGTGGAGCTGCCCTATGCACTGTGAGGCACTTAGCAAAATCTTTGTCTTCTTCCAATACCATCTCCCTCTCCCAGGTATGACAATCAAAATGTCTCCAGACAAATGTATGGTATGGAAAGCCTGTAATTCTATCACTCAGGAAGCAGAGTCAGAAAGGATAGCTGCAAGTTCAAATCCAGCCTGTGGCATATAGGAGGATCTTGTCTCAAAATACTAAAAGGGGGAAAAATGTGTCCCTAAGCTGTTGTTTGGGTTCCAGTTAGGAAGCATGCATTAAGCCAGACATGGTGGCACATGCCTTTAATCCCAGCAGAGGCAGGCAAATCTCTAAGTTGGAGATCATCTTGATCTACAGAGTGAGTTCTAGGACACTCAGGGCTCCACAGAGACACCCTGTCTCAAAAAACAAAGCAAAGAAAAAGAAAAACAATGCATCTATATTTACAGTAAGCCAAGGCTCTGAATGCCGAGTTCTGTAACATTATCCCATGGATTCCGAGAGCCCCCTCCATACACACCTTACAGGGCAGAGAATCTGAATGGCTGCTCTATACTCAAATAATAATCTCAAATTATTAGTGTAATCTTGTCGTCTTCTATCTCTTCCTTCATCTTATCTGTTGACCTCTATCTAAAACCTGACAAAGTAAAATATTCAGGCATTGCCTGGAGCTGTAGTTAGATGGTAGACTGTTCAGCTCCTGCTACTGACACAATAAAAAACATAGGGCCATGGTGATGGCTCAGTGGGTAAAGGGAATGTTTAATTGTGAGGCCAGGGAGCCACGGGACTGAGGAAAGATTGGCAGGAGTAGAATTGCTGCCATCCCCCATCGCCATCCTGGACCTTCGTGTCCCTGTGCAAGTATCCCTGCACCCCTACCTTTGCTCAATCCCCAGGACAAGGAGCCTGGTAGCCAGGTTAAACTTCCTCTCCTTGTATAAGGTCATGTCTAGCAGCACCTGGAATTCCTCCTTGTGCAAATGAGGCATCCCCAGCACCCTGGCCCCGACCAATGATGCAAACTCAACCCGAATGCTCCTACCCACTCCCAAAAGGTTTAAGTAGCTTTGTTCCCCCTACTAATTAGCTGTCACACTGAAGCCTGTCTCTCAAGAATAGGAAGTAGAGAGAATACTAGGGAATGTAGGAGTATTCTCAAAGACAGCCCCTGGGACACACCGCCCCTAAAAAGATCACATCTCCTAATCTTTCTTAAACAGTTCCACCACTAGAGATCAGGTGTTCAAACACGAGTCTAGGGGGACACTCTCATTTAAACCACCACATTTAGAATGCCAGATTTGGTCACTTATAGGTCCACCTTCACAACAGCACTTAGTTTATTCCTTCCTCTGTTTGCTTATCATTTCCGGCCCCTGGCCTTGGAGCTTTGACTTTGCTATAACAAGGGTCTGTCAGCAGCTCAGCCCAGGCAAGGAAGATTATAATGAGCTTTAAGGCATTTGAGAGAAAGCCACCGTCCTCAAAATCAACCCCAAAAGGGGTTTGTTTGTTTGTTCCCTGTAAAAACATCTGAAACACAGTTGATAATAAATGATTTTTAAACATCCAAGCTTGTGGTTACCAAGCTGCACGCCAGGTGGCTCTATCTGCCCACAGTTGAAAGCCTAGTTCTCAGCAAGGATGCCGTTCCTTTGACTGGTTGGGTTTTTGTTTTTGGTTTTGGGTTTTTTTTCTTTTCTTTTCTTTTTTTGATTGATTACTTTCTTCACTAACTAGAAATGTGTGACAAGAGGGACTCATTTTTGCTGAATAAAATTTGACATCACTCAAAAAGAAATGTCTGCAAGGGGCACAAATTTTAATAGGCTATTTCTGGAGCCTAGTCCTCTAATTTATTAATGCCAGGAAGTTGGTAACTTCTACAACCACCCCCCCCCCAACACTCTGCAGACCCGATTTAACCTATATCCTGAGTCCTTGCTAAATCAAGCTGGGTGGTTTAGTACCAAACTTCACATACAAAAGAGACCTGGGAAGCTTCCTGACCCTTCTGGCTAGTAAAAAAAAAAAAAAAAAAAAAAAAAACGAAAAAACAAAAACAAAAACAAAAAAAAACACTGAAGCTTAGAGTGAAGAGGTGAAGAGTTTAAGTTAGCCTGAATATACCTCCATTTTGACATAAAGATCTTGACTAGGCACTGAATTCAGGTATCAGGAAATATCACAGAATGTACACCTGGCAGAAAACAAAGTTAACTCTCCTAGCAACAGCCTCCAGGAATTATAACAAAATAAATGCTTCAT